TCATGGTTACCTGCTGTTGAATTGACACCTTGCCAGCCTCGGCGATCTTCATAACGCTTTTGGCAAACTCCAGCTCTGGGAGGAAACAGCAAGGGTCTGAGTTGCGCAGGGTGTGGGAGCTGCCTCGAGCCTGGGGCCACGTGGAAGAGACTCTCACCAAGGCTGGCTCTTTTCTCCGTCCAGGCCAGCAGCTCCTTTGCATAGCGGCTCCAGGTCTTGGCATAGTCCAAGGCTGCGTCCACACCACCCTTGGTCCGAATGAGCCTCAAGTCCAGTTCCTCCCCTGGGGCAGACAGGTGGACCTCTGACCTCTGAATCCTAAACTCCCTTGGAACCCTGACCTCACTTGAGCCTCTAGACCAGACCAGTGACTATTACCTACACCCTATGACTCCCCAAAATACCCTTTTACAATGACTGGCAATTTTACACTGATTCTCCACCCAGACTATGGGCTACTTAAAGGCAGGGGCTCAGTTCTGCTGTGTGCACTGCAGTGCCCCGGGTACATGGGACAGGCAGTTGGTGATGACTTGTTAAGGGAAGAACTTCTTTCTGCCCCCACCTTCTGGCCTCAAACCCCCCTACCTGTAAGGGGTGCAGGACCCTCCAGGGAGGGGCCACTCCATTGACTGGTTTCATTGGCCTGAGCGGGAGGGAGAGAGTGTTTAGGAATATGCAGGGCAGGGGCCCACCTCCTTAAAGCCCCTCCTCCTGGAGGCCCCCTCCTCCCTGCCCGCCTCTCACCACAGTGGCTGTGGGGGTCTTGTCCAGCTCTGGGTCTCCTGAAAGTTCAGGGTCTCCAGCCAGCATCTCAAGGGGCCTGGGAGGTAAGGGTATCAGGATACCACCCTCCACCCAGGCTGTCCTGCCTAGGGGTGCTGAGGATCCCAGGGTACTTTGGTGGATGGTCCTGGATACCACCTCAGTGACATCTCTTGTATCTGGGAGGTCTAAGGGATGGGGTTTGGGGGGAGAACCACATGAGCTTTTTTATGGAACTTGAGACATAGTTTGACAGGTTACAGGTAACTTTGGGGTTCAGGGAGTGGGATTAAAGGGATCTCAAATGTTTTAAGGGGTCACCAGAAGTATATGTGGGGGTTCTAGGACCACTATGGGGATTTCCAGTAGATTTGGGGGGTTGAATTTTGGAAGTTTTGGAGATCTTGGCAGGATTTGGGGGTGACCCAGGCTCAGACTCACACGTTCCCCAGTGAGATCTCAAGGTTGTCCAGGCTTCGGAAGATGTCACTATACCTCTTCCTGCTCTCAGGAGCTGGGGGGAGTCCTGGGAGGGGGGGCAGTGTTACACATGGGTACACCGAAGCCTCCCTCAGTCCATAGAACCTTGGCTGGGTGTTTGGAGGGTGGGAAGAGAGAAGGAGGAGAGAGACAGAGCTCTGGTTCTGTGGGGAGTGTGGAATGGGGTGGGTGTCTGAGTTGGAAGGGAGGGAAAGTGGGCTTGGGTGGGTGGGGCTGACTCAGGGCAGGCAGATGGACTCAGGTACAACCCAACACAGAGAGCAGAGACAGCCATAAACATATGGGCTCAGAAGCAAAGAGACAAAACAGATGCCCCAGATGCAGTCACCCTGTCCCCAGGGAAGAGAGCCAGCTTGGCAATGGAACCACGTGGACCTCAGACCAGACAGATGGGAATACACGTGGGAAAGACAGGCACAGAGCTGTGGTAGAAACACTGGCGGACTGAAACCACGAGGGCCATAAAGACTGAATGATTGACAACATGCACAGAGTAGACACAAAAGAAAGCCTCAAACACAAGTGGAAACTTGCTACATTTCTGCAACAGCTTCCCCCTGCACCCCCTCTTCCATGGGGCCCAGATCAGCATTGATCCTCCCTGGGCTGTGGAGCAACCCAGTGGGGATCCTTCATTGGCGCTCTCTCCCCTCTCCATCAGCAGTTGTGACACCCTGCCCCCATCACAAATATCAAAAGCAGAACCAGCCACTTCCCCTTCCTGGGCCCCTTCCCCCAGGCATCCGGGGTGAACACTCCAAAGGGGGAGGGGGTCAGGGACTGGTGTCCCGGGCCCCTCTAGGCTTGGGGGTCCGGTGCCCACAATGGAGGAGCCCTGGCATCCTCCCCATTCAGGAACTCCTTTCCCTGCTCTATGAACGGAGAGGGACAACCATGGCCCCTCAATTTAGGAAGCGGGGTATGGCCAGGGATGCCCCTCTTGGATCCCGTATCCCGGACTGCCTACCCGGCTCTGCTGCGTCCATGGTCCAGGGATCACTCGGTGGGGACGGGGACTGGGATGGGATCCCGCGCCGCACCCGCTGGGCCTAGCCCAGATTTCCTGCTGCAGCTGCCACCAGCTTCCGCGTCTCCCCGCCCCAAGGCTGACCACGCCCCCACTCTATCACCCCAACACGCCCTTGCTGCAGGCCACGCCCCCGAGGCTTCGAAGCACTGAGGGAGTCCCCTGCCCAAGTGGTGAGCGGAGATGCCCTAGGGCCAGTGCCTGCTGGGCAACCACCAGACATAAACACTCCAGGGCTCCATCCTGACCAGATCTTTGCATGGCCCCAAAGCCCCAGCACACTTCCCCAGAGTCAGCCTGTTTCTGACCCTTTCACATACCCAGTTATAGCCCTGCTCAGGGCTCCTTGGACCCCAGAACCCATCCCAGCTCGACTAGACATGGAGCCTCTTGTGGAGGCCTGCAGTCCTGCCCAACTACAGCCAAATCCTAAGTTCCCTAACACTTTGTGGCTGGAGACCCCTGGCCTGGGGGACTCCCATCAACCCTCAAAGCTAGATCAGGCTCTTGAGGCTCAATTGCAGTGTAGCCAGAAGTCCCAATTCTTTTCAGTCCTGGGATGGGATGGGGTGGTGTTGAGGGCAGCACAGAGACCCTGCCCTGGGCCCCTAAATCATCCTTGGCAAACCTAATTCCAGAGTGCTCCCCTTTAAGTCACCTCAAGTTGTCTCAGGGATTTGGCATCCCTCTACATTCCACCTGACCACAGCAACCCCTCTTCAGGCTGGGGTCTGGGGGCCACTACCCATCCAGGACCTTGGCCAGCCTGCGCTCATGATGTTCACAGGCACCCACAGCCAGTCCCTGCTTGCTTCCCAAGGCCTTCTTCGGACTGCAGGCAACACTTCCCTCACTGGGGAAGCCAGACAGGGGTGGGCTACTGAGGATGACCAAGAGGGCAGGAAAGGACTGAGAGCTCCCCAATCAGCACTGGTGGGGAGGGAAGGCTCATATCCAACTGGCTCTCAGCTCTCACACTGCCTATTCTGACATTCCTCAGCTGTAGTGAGTTAGCACCCTTTGAAAGGAAGGACTGTCAGTATGAGGGCAGAGCCAGGCTGCTGGGTCAGTGTGGCTGTGACTGAGATGTCAACAGCACCTAAATGGCTCAGGACTCCAGGGCCACAACCTGACTCAGTATTCTAATGATGTGGACTGAATTTCCTCACATCTAAGTTATCATGTGGGGAAGGCATGCTGTCATTTTGCGTATTACTGAAAAAGAAAAATGCCATAGATCCTAAGACTTCCCCTAGTGCCTGAGGTATGAAAACAAGAAGCTGAAATATGGGGGTGCTTATTAAACTAGGAAATATGCAGAGCACTCTGTGTTGGAAGCTTGACCCATGCAAGCCCTGACTTGTTGCAGAGGGTGTCATTAATAACCTCACACAGCCCTCTGGGAGGGTGCTAGGACCTTCCTCGGTGAGCACCCAGCCTCCCAGTGACCCCTTGTGTGGTATAGACAGAGATGGAGACAGGGCTTCTTAAAATTGTGGATGCTGCTTTATTTACCAAAGGTGCTGGCTGGGGGCTGGTTCTGCCAGCCAGGCCCTAGGACAGCCATGGGGAGAGAGAGGAGTTGGGTCCCAGCTCAGTCTTGGTGGGTAAGGCTGGGCTGGCCTTGCCGTGGGGGCAGTGTTCCCTCCAGGGGCCCACATGGGGTCCCTGCACAGCGGTAGCAGGGTGGGCAGTGGGTGCTGGCACTGCTGTCTCAGGAAGGCACTTTCAGCTTCGGGGTCCCCAGGAAGAACTGCAGGACGCGGTCGGCCAGGAGTGCCAGGCAGAAGTCAAGGATCAGGACCTGGGCGATGACCAGCTTGAACTGCAGGGCAGGAAGTGATGATGAGCCGGATGCCTGCCAATGGGCCCAGGTCAAGTACTGGGCCACATCCACAGGGATACTCACCTCCACGGGGATGTCTACAAGGCCAAACTGGCTGTTGAAGTCAGGCGAGGAACCGAGCAGCAGGCCCACAATGGCCAGGAGTGACACAGCCAGGCTCCACACCAGAGGCTTGTTCTCAGGCAGGCTCTCCATGAAGGGCGGGCCCTGCAGGGACAGAGCTGTGTGCTGTAGGGGCTGGGTGGGTGGACAGGGCATGCTCGGGTTAGGGCTGGAGCTCACCTTGTAGTTGATGGCAAAGGTGGCCATCTGCATGGCCATGGCCATAATGTACACAGTGCTGTTGACCAGGCTTGGCTCAAACTCCTTGTACAGGTCCACAAACTGTTCCTGCCTGCAGGACGCATGGGGGTCAGGGCCCTTCTGTTGTTTCCACTGCCCTTACACATTGCCAGGGCTCTGACTGGCCTTGGTTTCCCCAGGCCAACATCTGCACCTGCACCCTCCTCCCACCACATGGATGCTGCCTCCTTTGGGTGCCCTGCTACTGGGGGACACTCACTTTTCAGGGCTCCGGGCCTGGGCCTCGCTGTATAGGTAGACAAGGCTTAGGAAGTGTACGCAGAACTGGAACAGGACCGTGAGGATGGTGTACAGGTTGAAGATGTTGGGCAGGGGCCGCTCTCGGGACAGGGTCTTGAGGGGCTGCAGTGGTGGTGGAGGAGTTAGGGCATGGCCGAGTGTCAAAGCCCGGAGTGCCCTGGGCCGGCCGGCCGGCCAGCCAGCCAGCCACCATGCCTCCTGCAGGCCCGGTGCAGAGCAGTCACTGCATCCTGGGGCCACAGGTTGGCACCAGCCTCCAGAGCCCTGCTTGCCTGTGGACACTGCTGGGGCCCAAGTTGTGCTACTCTGAAAAGTCTCAGTGGGCTCTCCCCTTACCACCCACTCCCCATCTACAACGTGGGGATGACAGTTCCTACCCTGAGAGCTGCTGTGAGGAAGAAAAAGATGACATCTGGAAGCACCTCTAACAGCCTGCCCTGGTTGGCCCAAGTGTCCCTTGCCATGAATCACCGAAGCCTCTCAGCACCTCCAGGGCGGGTGGCATGGTTCAGAGGCAGAAGTGCCCTTGGGTAGAGCGGGAGTCATTGCTTTGCCTGGGATCCCAGCCCACCTTGGAGCGGGAGATGAAGAGGAAGCAGCCAGCCAGCAGCAGCCCCTGCAGTGTGGCCTGGAAGTCGCTGAACTTGACGCCTTCCAGGTAGAGGACACTCTGACTGTAGGCCAGGATGAGGGCATTGAGCGCCAGTATCTTGAACATCTGTAGCGTAGTCACAAGTGTGCATCGGCCCTGCTTGATCACGTGGCAGACTGCATGGATTGGGGGAGGTAGGTGTGAGCATGGGTGCCATGCAGGCATGGACATGGGTGCCAGGCAGGGTCAGCAGGGGGACAGGGCAGGTGGCAGGACTCACTGCACTGAATGGATGAGAGCTTGGAGGTGAAGGGTGCTGCGATGCTGGCGTCCCCCAACTTCACGATGGGCATGCTCTCATCCTCGAGGTCCCGCAGCACCTGGCTCAGGCGGTCCTGTGGGGTGGGTGGCAGTAGGTGAGACCTGGACACAAGGGGGTGCCAGTGCCCCTCTCCCAACACTCACCCTCTGGGAGGTGGGCTGCTCCTCTGGGGGTGGGAACCCCAACCTCTGCTTGGCTGCCCTGGAGGTGGCCCTGACACCACTGTTGCTCAGGACGGGACTGTCGCGGGGCCGCCGCTTCCGTTCAACAATCCGCTCTGGGGCATTGGCCAGGAGTGCAACACCTGGGGGTGGGGGGGTATGTGACTGTTAGGATCCAGGGGAGACCACAGCACCAGGCCAGAGCGGGGTGTCTGCTCAATGCCAAAATGATGCCACGGGCCTTAGAGCCAAACCTTCCCATTTCACTGGACCTCCCCAAGGAATACCTCAGAGAGCATTTTATCTTTCTATAAACTACTTAAAAATAAAAACACCCCCCCCAAAAGCACGTAACACTAAATGGATCAAGACTCACTGAATGCCAAGAATCATAATCCTAAGAGATGAATAATACTCGATAAATGTAATCGACAAGTAAAGCAGATAAGTATGTTCTGTTTACAGAGATCCGAGGCTGTGAACTGCTGGCCAATGCTTCAGCTCCAGTTATTTGTCCCCACTTGTCCCATTTCTCCCTGGCCTTTGCTCGCATGGTGCCCAGGGGGCCTGAGCAAACTAAGTTGCATTTGCCCCACAATGCTTCCCTGGCTCCCCAAACTTTCCCATGGCCCTGGTGGCCTCAGCCATACTGTTCCTTACACACCTGTATCCTTCCTGCCCTTGGATCCCTGATCCTATTAGCTCCGCCCTATCCTTTCACTGTCCCATGGGGGGGTTAGCCCTTAAACTGGAACCAAGAGGTAAGTTAACAGTCATGGGAGGGAGGTGGGAAAGGGAGAAAAGTTCTTAGAATGGGGAAGGCCTTGCCCATCTGAGGAGCTGAAAGGAAAGCCTGCCAGGAGCACAGAGATCTAGACACACTGAAGAAAGGCCACCACTGCCATGTAGGCCAACAGAACAGTGAAGGAAGAAACGGCTCACCCACGTCAGCGTGCTTCAGGGCACCCACGTCATTGGTGCCATCCCCACACATGAGAGTCACGTAGCCCAGCTCCTTCAGGCTGGTGATAACAAACTCCTGTGTGGGCAAAGGACCAAGTGAGGGCTGTGTGTCACCTTAGGGCACCATCTACCCCTGTCACTCCTGCACTTACCTTCTGTTTGGGGGCCACTCGGGCGAACACCTGCACATGGGGGATGAGGCGCAGCAGCTGCTGGGGGTCCTCGGCTTGTAGGTGGGCCAAGCCATCGCCTGTGAGGCACAGGGCATGCTCCGAGGCCAGTGTCTTCGGGGAGCCTTGGACCAGGGGTAGCACAACACTGCCGTCGATGGAGCACCACTCACAGGGTCGACCTGCAGGGCCAGTGCCCAGGTTCAGGGATAGGGCTCAGCCACCCAGGCAGACCCCTCACGCAAACTCAACATGTCTAGTCCTAATCTCCCCTTTCTGGAGCACCATCTTGACCTCTACCCTTCCTTACTCCTCCCCCAAGCTGCATCTACACCTACCTGAGCCTTGGACCCCTGACTGCTCTACAGAGGTTGTTCAGAACACTCCAATACAGCTGAGGGAATCCCAGAACCCAGGGCCTGAGACCTCATGAAGGGGACAAATTCCAACCCAGGCACACCCCAGGCCTATTACTTAATTAGCCCCACCCTTGTGACCTGCCTGAAACCCCATTCTCCCAGGGATGGGGCACTAGAGACACTTCCTCTGACCAGACACTTGCTATCTACTTCTTCTTTCCAACTGGCTGGCTTACTAGCCCACCTGGCACTAGATGGCTCACCCTGGACTATATCAGCTGGGCAGGAAACTAACCTCCACCTGGTTTTTGTTATTGCCCTTTTATTAGAGCAGCTTCACTTGTCAATCAACAGCCCTGACACCCACCTCTCTGGGTTGCCTGCCTACAATCTCTGGCCTCTCAAGAGCCCAGCACCTGGAGCTGGACAGAGCCCTGGGGCTAGCAGTGCAGACTGGGAAAAAGGCCAGGAGGTTCCAGAAGCCACCCTGGCTGGGCCTTACCAACACCCTTCCCTGGCTTGTAGCCCTGTGACACCCTTGGTGCATGTTACCCCCTAGCCAGGTCATGCACTGGGCACCATCTTTCAGTATCTGACACCCCACCCCACCTGACAGAAAGTGCTGGGGCTGGAATGGCTCTTGGTTGGTCTGACTCTGGGATACCACTTGCAAACAACTGAGTGGCCAGTGGCTGGAGTCAGGCCATCCAGGTTCAAATGCTTAGTCACAGTGACACCAAGAAAAATGGGTGGGTGGGTTCACATTTCTCTATTTCATTGTCTATAAAGCTGGGTGCCAACAGCTGCCCCAGATGCCTTCCTCCTAGGTGGCATGGGGATGGCAAGCCCTCCTGTGTAAGGTGAAGGGATGATGTAACATACACCAAGCCCCCTGCCCAGGGCCTGGCCATGCCAAGCCCGAGCCCCAGCAGTCTCTGAGCTTGGGAATGGAGTATACTTGCTGTGCACACGCAGCCTGTCAGGCCCAAGGTGGGTGTGATGATATGAAATGTGAGATTCTGTGACTATAATCAACTGCCTTGAGATTACAAGTCATCACTGACCCTGGAGCCAGTGATTAACCTCCTGCTGCCAGACACAAGTGCAACTCCTTAGCCAGATGGCCTGAGGAGCAGGGCTGTGATCCACAGGTCCATGTCACACTGCTGCCACCATCACAGGTACTTAATAACACTGGGTGTGCTCACTCAGGCCTGGCATGAAGGAGGGCAACTGGGATAGAAGCTTATCTTTGGTCTCAGGATCTGTCCAGCACCCAGGCACTCAGGGTCTCACCTTTTTCTGTGGGAGGCTGCAGGATCAGTGTGTGTGCCTTCTCAATGAAGTGTAGTTCCTGGGCCACGTGGCAGGCAGTAAGTGGGTTGTCACCGGTGATCATGACCACCTAGGGAGAGGGGTGAAGGCTCAGTGGGGCAGAACTACAGCCTGGAGACCTGGTGCGTGAGTCCCCTCTAAGGAAGGCTACAGAGGGAGGTCTTGGTCCCCTACTGGGGACTGGGATTCCAAGGCCACAGTCTGTTCCCACTTGGGAATGTTTTATGAAAACAATACATGTATGTTTGTTTTTCTGAGAAAATCCATACCTTTTCTGTGCAGCATAAACTATGAACCAGCTTTTGGCATGGACCTTCTTGGTTTGGTAGCTTCCCAAGAAGTTGTGTTTGGGGTGGGTGAGAACCAAAAGCTCCAGCCTCCCAGCTTAGAGCTGATGAGGCCTGCTGAGTGCCAGGTGGGGACTGATCATTTTATCATTCTGTGAGAGTGCTCCCTTACCTCCCACACTCTAAACTGCATCCTGAGTTCCAAACTAGATAACACAAACTACCAGGACAAATGGACTAAAGGCACTGAGAAAGATAGATGTGATCTGTCTGGGCATTGCTTCCATACCCTCTACCCAGCCCCAGCCTCCCAAAGATGCTGCAGGCCCCAAGAAACACCCACTTGCCCCACTGAGTGTGGAAGTGTCCTCTGCTGTCACATCCTCCTCTCCGTAAGGACGAGCCAAGACCCACCCGCCCACCTGACTGAGGGGCCAGGTATGGAGGGTCCAGCAGCCATACCCGGTGGGAAGCATTCTGGATCTCCCGGATCACAGCCTTGGAATCAGCCTTGAGCGGGCAGGAGACCACAATGAAGCCGACGAACTTGAGGTTGCACTCCAAGGCCTCCCGCTTGACCTCCCGGGCCTGTGGACAAACATGAGGTGCTTTCATGATCATGATCTGTCCCTCCCTAACTTCCCAAGCCCCAACAATGTGCTGGGTGGGGAGGTCAGAGAAGGACTTGTCCTCCCTTTTAACACAGGGGCTTGGCAATGGTTGGGTGATCCCCATCCCCAGTGGTGCTTCTACTCCCTGGTGTGGGCATGGCATGTCGTCACAGGCCCTGTGTCTCTGCTTCTACCAGAAACTGTTCCTTGTTAACCACCCAGCATGCGTTCACCCAGAAACCAAAAAATGCCCACCCTCATGAAGCCTGTTGTCTACTGGGGAGGAATGTAGTAAGTAAAATCTCAGAATCAGAGTGCTGAGTGCCACAAGACAGATGAAGACGGGAGAATAGGGCAGGAAAGGTCAGGGATGGCACTGAGCAGGAGTGGCTCTGGGGGAGTTGTGATCAGGCATCTATTCTGGAAGGATCTCTTGGCCACTGGGTACAAACGGCATGGATGAAGGCCAAGGTGGAAGTAGGTAAAGGAGTGTTGGCAGTGGGGGTAGAAGAGCTGATGGAACTCGGGGGTATGACTAAGAGCTGGAGGTGTCCCCAAACCATGCAGTAACCAGGTGGCTGAGCTGGGCAGGGTCAGAGCTAGACTGGAGACAATAATCCAAGATGCCTCCTAATGTTTCCCAAAGGTGTGTGAGGACACTTGGGTGTGGGGGTAGGAGGCTAGGTGGAGGCAGCTCTAGGCTCCAGGATGGGAAGGGGTACCATGGAGAAGGGACTGAGGACTGAGTACCACCTAGAGTCTCCAAAGGTAGAGGCCAGGGAGGAGAAAGATGAAATCGTGCTTGCTCACAGGCACAGTGAGGGGACAAGGTGATACAAACACAGGTGGGGGGCAGGGGAGAGGCTGGCAGGTGGGGAGCCTGGGCCCTTACCTGCTGGTGGGTGAGGTGTCCCAGCTCCTTGTACCCCAGAGCCAGGACGCGGGCTCCTTCCCGGGAAATCTCCGTGTGGATGTGGTGATAGTTGGGTGGGCACTGGGAGAACTGCAGGGAATGGAGGGGGACGTCACGACCACCTCACACTGACCTCCCCCCTGAACCCCAGGGCCGTGCTCAGCTCACCATGGAGTGCAGGGTTTCAGGGGCCCCCTTCACAGCTGAGATGTAGCAGAGGTCGGTGGAGCCCAGCTTCTCGTAGGAGGCGAGCACGGACATTCGCTTTAGGGCACTGGCAAAATGAAAGCGCTGGTGAATTTTCAGCCCCTGAGTTTTAATACTTCGGGGGAATACTTTCTCATCTGGAAACAAATAAGTACGAGTCCTGAGGGCCTTCGCTCCAAAGAGGCAGCCAGGCCCCCGCCTGTCCCTCCTTCCTCCCCCCATCCCCAGACCCGGGGCCTGCGGACTCCTGGCTCCAGGGGAAAAGAGCTGGGAGACCTGGGTCTGGAGGACCCTACCCCATAGCTTTGGGTGGGGTGGGGACACCCAAGAATGCGGTATGCCCCAAGTCAGGGGTGCCTGTACCCACCCGCCAGCCTGAGTTGGATACAGTTGTCTCAGGGGTCTGGCTTGCCTGCCCAGGAGTGTGAGAGCTGGTGGTGTGTCTGCATTGGGCCCGAGACTCTAGCCCCTCACCTTTGGTCAGTGTCCAGTCCACCGCTGTCAGCATGGCCTTCTCCAGAGGATCACCCACCAAGGTGCCATCGTCTAGCTGCATTAGGGAGTGGCATGAGGCCAGGGCCCGGTGTGTTTCTACAGGGATGTTGGACACAGGGGTCACCTCCTTTCCATCTCTGCAAAGAAGGGGAATAGCTGGTTACAGGGTGGAGGGACCCTTGGACATTGCCAATCAGGAGGAGGAATGGGGCCTATACTCTGTGCCAGTCACTTCAGGGGCAGCAGGGGTGTTGATTTGGTCCTTGTGACATCTGCACTTGTCTCACGGACACTTCCAGAGGTCATGTGGCTGCTTGGAGCCCAAGGTGATTCCTGTGCCACTGACACACTGAGACTGCACAGGAAGCCCCTTGGATCAGACCTCTACAGTAGGGCCTCTGACAGGCCCTCACTCTGGGGGTTGGGTGGGCAGCTCTCAGGCCCTTGAGTTCTCAGAAAGCCCACTGCTGCTGGCTGGGCACCTCTCAGCCCAGGTCTCCATGCTCACCTGAGCCCAGCCACACCGCGCACCACCAGGCTATCGCTGGTCAAGGTCCCTGTCTTGTCAAAGCAGCAGACCTCCACCTTTCCAGCAAAGGGGATCCGGAAGGGCTCCGTACAATACATGTCTGAAAGGTGGAGCCAGGTTCAGGGGTCCTGCCAGATGCCAGCCCTTGGCACCCCAGTCCTTCCCCAGGTACTCACAGAGCTTGGCCAGGGCGATGAGGGAGGTGTTGACAGCCAGAGACAGCTCGATGGGCAACTCGGGGGGTACTACTGACGTGAGGATGAGTGTGCATTCCAGAAACAGCTTGTAGCGGTTCCGGCTGGGATCCTTGGTGCCTGTGGAAACAGGGCCTGCCAGCCTGGGGTGGTAGGCACAGGACCAAGCAGACAGGTGGGGAACGTGGCGCTTACCTTCAATCCATACGTAGGCGGCTGCCGCGATGGCAAAGACAAGGAGAAAGAGGATGAAGACGAAGGTCTCCAGGTTGTTCGCAGTCACTCTCTTAACCCCAAAGAGGATCGTGCGCAGCAGCTTGCCCTGGAAGGACGGAGTCAGAGGCCTTTCTGGGGGCTGGGGTGGTGGCCTCCCCTGCTCGAGGGCATCAGGGCCAGATCCTCCCTTAGCTGACAGAGAGCACCAGCCCCAGGCCCATCAGTGAGTCCTGCAACACACCACACAGATGTTCCAGGGACCACATGGCTATGTGGGCAGCTGCAACTGGGCCAAGAGCTACAGAGACCGACCAGTGGCCAAAGCCTGGAGGTGGGGGAAAGAAGTGGCTGAGACAGGTACAGGAGTTCCTAGGTCTGGTCTTCACCTCTGTTAGGCAGTCTACTTGTGGTTTAATGAGTTTATGGGCTCAATGTTTATGACCCCGAAACACCCGGCAACAGCTGGTTTGTGTCTATTCCCCACAAGACCCTCAGCTGGGATAGCAGGCCTGGTCTTGGGCTTGCTCCGCATGGCCTCTGGCCCAGTACCTGCTGTCAGAGTGAGCTTGTGGGGTGGACGTTCTGGGGTCTAAAAGGGCCGCCATCTTGAGTGTCCACCACCTGCCATGGAACCCACTCTCCCCAGAGTCAGGCAAGATGCCCCACCTGAGAAGTGTTGAATCCAGTCCTTAGGACGTAGGCCACGCACCCACTGTCGACCGCTGTGGAAATAAGCAGAACCAGTGTCACTCTTGTCTATTTGTCTGGATTCCCTTGTGGCCAAGCAGACATGGAGAGGGTGGGGAGGTGGAGCCAGGACACTCCTCAGAAACCCCCAAGGCACCTACGCTTCAGGCCTGTTGTGGCCTTCTGGGGGGGGATGTGCTGCACCACCTTGGTGCCCCCAAAGATGACATGGAGCCGGGAGTCAGCCTGCAGGTCCAGCACCCGGTTGGGGCTGAGGTCTTCAATGGGCTCCTGGGGAAGAGGGGAAGACAGTGAAGCTGATGGTCAGTCCCACCTCAGCCTCCTTCTCCACCCTGTCTCCGGAGAGCTGAACCCTGGGGCTGGAGGAGCCCATCTGAATCTCACTGGGGACAGAGGCCCCAATTTGTCTTCTCTCCAGTTGCATATTCATCAACTCTCTGTGACCCTGCACCTGGCTTCTCCCAGAAATCACACCCTCCCCATTTCTCTTAGTCCACCTCAGTCTGATATCTCAAGGCACCTGAATGTCCCAACGCTCTGGGCTTCTCATCTCCTCTCCCCACCACCACTCAACTTCCCTTGGTCCAGGGCACTGGGATTGGCAGCTCTGTCCAGATGCTGCACCCGCTCTATCTCCTGCAGCCTCCTGGGCCAGAATTTCATCCCTCCTCTATGTATGCCTGGACAGGATCCCAGCATTCTCTTGGCTGGTGGCTCCTCCAAGAATGAGTCAATGATATATCTGAGTGGACCGAGGACTCCCCTTTCCCCGCACCTTCATCTGTGGCACTGACTCCCCTGTGAGCATGGCCTCGTCCACGATGCAGCGGCCCCGAAGCAGCAGCACATCACATGGCACCAGGTTATCCTGTGGTGAGCGACCTGCAGGGTAGCACCAGAGGGTCAGGCAGAAGCCAAGGCTAAGGTGCCACCAGGAAGGAGCTGAACTGAGCCTCACCAATGGAGACAATATCCCCGGGAACAATCTCGTCGCTGGCAATGGGCCTCCACTTGCGGCTTCGGTAGACCTGAGTGAGATGGGGTATGGTCAGTTTTGGGAATACATCTGTACCAGGCCCACCACAACCTCTGGGACCCTGCTGGCCACACCTGGATTGTGTGGGGCTTGTTGCCCATCTTCCGGATCTCGGACATGTTGCGCATCTGCTGCTGCACCAGGGAGGCCTCGAAGGCCACCAGCATGGACAGCGTGAAGACGCTGTAGTACCAATACTCGTCCAGGCACCAGAGCCCCACGCAGAACACCTGCCCCGGGAACATAATGAGGATGCTTGCTGAGGGCTGGACGTACGTACACCGAGGGCCACTCCACCCATGGACTCTGACTCATAGGACAAGGAAGTTGGCGGGTTTGGAATTGGACAGAGGTCATTCTGGCTGTGAAAGCCCTAATGAATGGGGTGGAGAGAAGGGCTGGAGCTGCTGTTTTACCTGGAACACAAAGAAAGGTGCTGTAGCTCTCTCCTTGAACAGCTCTGAGAAGTCAGGCACCACCATCTCAGCCCTGCAAGAAACCAGACTCCAGGCCCTGATCATGGTGAGAGGCCTCTGAGGCCCCACCCTGACACCTCTACCTGGAGGCACTACAAGCCTCCTCAGGAAATGGGAAGCTCTCGCAAGCTTCTAGACCGGATGCTCCATTCAACTATGGGTCTCCTCTCCCACTGGGGCAGGCATGCTGACTGCCCTGAGCCCTGTGCTCTGCAGAACCTAGACAAAGGTTCTGAACTGGCAACAAGCTCTTCATGCAGCACCCCCACCCGAGTGGGGGCTAGAGAGATGAGAACCTATCATCTGGACGGCAGACAAATCAAGTGGAGAAGGAAACTCTGACTGGGACAGAAGCCCTGAAGCTGAAGCTGCACAGAAGAGGCTGGGCCGCCAGATGCCTCTAAGCACCTGGCTGAAATACAGTGCCTGAGCCCATTCCACTCTGGAGAGGGGAGGTCTGGAGCCAGGATTTCCCCCAAACTCCCTGAATAAAAGCATCAAAAATGTAAGAAAGAGGGGATGGGGGTACTAAGGGTATGTTCTGAAGCATAGTGTATATTGGGCTCCTGGATGTGGGATATGATAAAGAAACCACAATGGCCCCACTGTGGTAAAAATAAACTGAGACTCACTCTGTATTGTGTCCACTGACTTGAAATGAGCCAGGACCTGGGGTGGGGGTTTGGAGAGTGGGGACTGGTAAACATTTCTTATAAATCTTCCTATTAGATTGACAGTTGTGGTAAACAATTAAGTCTGGAAAGAGTTCCCTATAGGTGCTGAGGGTTATCAGGATGACTGTCACAGTGGCCAGGGTGGGGGCTCTGAAGTTCAGCCTTGCCCTCTCCCAGGCACGTGTCAGCACTGGCAGTTTTGGTGAAGGTTAAAGGAAAAAGTGTGTACATAGCACCTGCCATTCTACCTGGAACAAATAAGAGTTGACCACTGACTTCTTTTTTATCACCATTCTGTAAGTGCCGGGATGTGTATGAAGAGACCAACAACAAACTACATTTAAAGAAAGAATTTAAAATGAATTGGGGAATTACAAAAAACAAGACAAAGATGAACAGCCAACTCTTGTATGCCATGGGCCAGGCTCCCCAGGAAGGGCTCCTGGCTGAGAGCTCTCTAGTAGGTTCTTGTCAGCAGACAAGTTCAGGGGAGGCTAGAATAGAGCACATTTCTCAAAGGGGGCCACTTTCACCTGGGATGTTTTGTTGAAAAGGTGGACTCCTCCATTCCACTTCTCAGGTACCTCGACCCAGGAGTTCGAAGGGACAGGAACAGGAAAGGGGCCACCAGCTGGGACAGTGGAGGTCTATGACCACAGGCAGAGGCTCAGCCCTATCAGCAGGAGGGACACATGGGGACCTCAAAACTCACTTGTTACTCCCAAACTTCTTCTCTGCTGCTCGGATCTCTGAGTCCTCCTGAAACCCTCTGCTGCTCTGGTAGTAAGAGAAGGAGTTTCCTACAGGAAAGGCGACAGGGAGGAAGCGCTTCTTTTCCTGGGCGTCATAGGAATATTTGATCTTCTGGAATTCGAAGGAGAGCACCTCTTGCCCATCTTCACCCTGTGGGAGAAGGCTCGTCTGTGCTAGAGGCCCCTGACCTGGGATGTCGTTCCTGGGAATCTCACCCAACTCCTACATTGGGCAGCCTGGCAGGTGGTCCCTACCTCATCTCGGTGCAGGGCCACGAGCTCAGTGGAACCATTGTTGGGGGTCGGGACCACCTTCACGAAGGTCACTTTGCTGGGATCGTACTCCTGTGAGAGGCAAAGTGATGCTGCTGAGCCCTTCTCAACCCCCACGATAGGAAGAATACTGTCGGGCAAGAGGTGCACCCTTGATACATGTGAACCAAGTCCTGTCACAGCTCACCTGGTCCACTGCTGCTCGGCTTCCTCCCCCCCGCCCCATTACTATTCTTGCTGTGTCCTCCAGCAAGGAAGAGCAAGAAGATTGGAGACTCACCCTTGACTCAGCTAAGGGGCTTGGCATGTGCTGTTCTCTCTGGGAAATGTGGTCATACAGCTTTCATGCCATTGCTCAAGCATTACCTTCTCAGGAGGCCACACTTGGACGCCCCACATGAAGTTCCATCACTATGTTCCTATTTCGTTTCTATTTTCTCCCTTTGGCACTGACCGCTGAGTATAAGTCTCCCCAACTAATACCATGAAGGCTATGGGTTTTGTCTGTATTGTTCACAGCTGTTTCTCAGCACTTAAGATGTGGAAGCACCCAATGGAGCGCAATTAGCACTCCCTAAGTCATGGGCTGCATCCATCCCACTGCTGCTCTGCCAGTGTGTGTTTGTGGGAGGGAGAGTGTCACAGCAGTGACCATGAAAAACAAGACCCCACCCCTCAGAGAGTTCATGGGCAATGGAAGCAGGCAGAAAATAACAAACATATATCTAAGAACTCTGGTAACGCCATGGAAGAAAAGTGCAAAGTGCTACATGGGCCAGCTCCATACCAGGAGCTTTGCAGATACCATGTTTCTTCTCACAGTGGCATCCTGAGGTAGGTGTTAGGGTTCTCACTTTACAAAAGGAGAAACTGAAACCCGGAGAGCAGAAGGACATGTCTGAGATCTCTGATGCAAACCCAGATCTGGCCTAATCCCACAGCTGCTTAGCTCCTCCTTGTTCTCCATCCTGGGAAAGGACATTGTCACTCTTTTAAGCTGCATGCCAAAAGGCAGCCGGAAGTTTGGGTGTGTGTGTGTCAAACACCCCCTAACCCTCTTCCATTTTTCTGTCCCTTGCTGGGGTCTTCCATTGTACTGATTTCAATCTATCAAGCCCAAAAGTTTGAGCCCCTCCCCTTATATACAGCTTGTTGGATAAAGGAGATTACGCTCTTAGAAGAGAAAGAGGAATCAGTCCACATTCAGAGTCAAAGATGGGGGCTCCTGTCCCTTTCTGCAGCCCTTGGTGCTGTTCCCTTTCTCTGTACTTTTAGCGGACACACACCTGGGATAGGGGGAGGATGGCTGGAGGCTGATCTCTTCACCCACTGCTCCAGACCTGCGGGGGTCACCTGAGGCAGGCCTGGAGGATATCAACTGCTGACCCAGGGCAGCTCTTCCTCACCCACACCTTGGGGCTAAGGGTCACATCCTGACAGCAGTCCAGACCGTCATCACCCTCATCTTGCAGACGGACATAAAAACACCCAAAACAGTTAAGTCACTTGCTCACAAATAGCTCCTTCTTGCTCCTTTTAAACGCTGGTATTAACTGCATTTCAAGCTAGTTTTGGTCGCAGGAGGAGAGGTCTCTGAGCACTGGAGAGCAGGGCTGAAGTCCAGTTTTCAAACCAAACTTTGCACACAGGAAAACCCACCTGGCCGGGCTAGGCTCGTATGTTGAAAACCACGGTGGGAGGCAGACAAGGAAGACAGGGCTGTTTCCAGGAGAAACCACCGAGTACTCGCTAAGATGGGGGCCATTAAACAGCGACATATGTTGGGCCCTGCGCTATGCTTTTTACAGGTATTCCCTTATGGAATCTAAATGCCAACACCGGGGAGGAATTCCAAAGAAAGGAAGTATCTGTGCCGGGGTCGCGCAGCAAGGCGGCACTGGTACCAAATTATGCCAGCGCTAAAGGGTATAGGGCGCCGCTGGGGACCCAGGCCCAGCAGATGGGAGGCCCGGGCCGCCGGGGGTCGACGGGAACGCCGCGGCCGCGACCTGCCACGAGACCCGACACTGNCACTGTGGAGGCCGGGCTCCTGCCCGCGCACTTACCGGCGTGCAGGTGAGCGCGCAGTGAGCGTGCACCGACCAATGCCCCGAGAGGACCGTGAGCGCGTGCGCGAGGCAGATCGTAGCCAGCACGAGCAGCGCGGCCTCGGGGATCTGCGCCCAGCTGCTGCCCCAGCCCCAGCAGCCGGCGGCCGCGGCGCCCAGCCAGGCCGGGTACAGCAGCCCGGCGAACGGCA